TTTTCCATCACTCGAGCCACATAACTGGCATAACTAAATATTGAAGATAATGAAATAGAAATAAAAATGAAAACTCACTCTATTGTCCCTCTACTGTACATGCTTTTGCTTCAGTTTGAATCTCAAATTCAAACCCAATGGTGGCACTACAGTAAAAATCAGGGGTTCCCCAAAGTCAGTAGTCATTACTGGCATTGGCTAATATTAAAGATTGAACTTTAGAATTATAGGGAAAAAGAATAGTTGCTTTATTGTTCTTTATGTTTTTTAAGTAAAGCTCTAGTTAGATAAATAATGGCAGGTGAATGAGCAGACTGCTGTCACGCATGTTGGGTGCTAACAGTTATCAGATATAACATTCAAATTATGTGTTTGCATATAGTTAGGAAGGCCGGAGCAGCGCAACAATAGAACACCCCCGTGGCTAAACCTGACATCTGTTCTCTTTGGATGAGATAAAACACTGTCAAAATACCACATTAAATAAGTTAACGCCCTGCATTGAAAGGATTACATAAGAGTCAATATCACCATACGGTGCATTTGAGACTTCCCCATTTCCCCAAAAAATTCTGAGATTTTCCATTGAATTTCATATTCAATGTATTAAGTATACGTTATGCTGTTAGAAATGGATGTTGGTCAAGCTCCCACACTTTTTATAAATGAACTGCAAATACATGAAAACAGCTAAATGTATCCACCCTGTCATGGACAAAATTCAAAGATTTAATACATTGTAATTACATAGTGATTATAAAATGTACATTTTCAGAAAGCTATAGTCCCTTTCTTAACAATATATTTCAGTATTTGGATAATAATGAAATTATGGCAAACTATTTGTACCATGTCCACCCTGTCATGGAAGGCTTGCTGACAGGGTGGACATGGTACAAATAGTACCATCCAGTAGTGAAGGCCGACTTTGAGATAAATAGGGGGAGCCAAAACAATCGAGCATATTTGTGTCACACAGATTAGAAATGTTGAGTTTCTGTAAATAAAAGTTCTTGAAATAAATAATAGTCATTGTTCATTACAGTTTCTGAATATTTGTTTTATATTTGTGAATATCTCTGGGTGTTGCCGCCATCTGTACGTGGCAGCGCTGCATTCTTTACGCTACTCACGTTGCTATGGTTACGGCAGGCGATGCTGCGGTATTTGATATTTACATACTGATATTTTTTTTAACTCTGGTTTTATAATAAGAAATATGGCGAAACGAAAACAGCCAAGCCTCGCAGCTTTTGGATTCACAAGCAAAGAAGCGAAGGAGTCTAAAAATTACAACGTGAACGGAACCACTTTTAGTTGGCCGGCTGTAAGCGGCGTTAGGGTCGAGTTTGACAGCTCCACACCGAGGGAGAGGCCTGCCGATGCAGAGCCTGAAGAGGCTTCAACAACGGCCACAGCCGCCGGCGCCACCTGCGCTAGCGAACCTTTCCTGACGATGCCCATGACCTGCCTTTTAACTGGACACAGAAAAGATGGAGTGAGTGGAATGAAAGGTATCTTTTAAAAAAAAAAAAAATTGGAAGTGAGATTTGCAAAGAGGCTGTGAAGCTGACAATTGAGCAGCCCGACCAAGCAAGGAGGCAGAGGCAGAGAGTTCAAATATAACCCGGTGTGGGCATTTATTAATCATTGACACATGATTCACAGCCTCAATCTGACTGTTACCCGTTACCCGTTACCCGTTACCCGTTACCCGTTACCCGTTACCCGTTACCCGTTACCCGTTACCCGTTCACCAGCCACCAGCCACCAGCCACCAGCCACCAGGATCTCACACCCACACACACTAACAGGAAACACATAACCTAAATACCCACAGACTAATCAATCAACAAGACACAGGTGAGGGGGGAGGAGACAACACAGGGCACCAGGTGCACACAATCAGCAGTAACAGACATGGGGGAAGGGGAACACTTTTCAGAATAAAACCAGCAAACAGAGACAGACAAACTAAAACACAGACAGATGCACAAACTACATACACTTCGCCACCAACGAAGCTACACAATCCGTAATGGAGGCTGAGATCTATGGCCCCAGAGATCACCTCCGTTACAGAGGCAAAAAGTATATTGATCTCCCTGCCGCTCGCAAAAAAATCCACCTGAGTGCACCTTTCACAAGAATGGATTCAGGGAAAAGTCAGCAGTGATCAACAGAATAACCTGCGGAAAAAGATTTATAAGCACCATAAGAGCCAGGCAAACGAAAAAGCGATCAAGATTTCGGAGATGAGAAAAAAGATGTCCTACCAAACAAGGTAGGCCTATTGGCAATCAATGTTGATCTAATGCAGGAAACATATACATCTTTCAGGTCTGCCTATATGATTGCCAAAAAAATAAATAAATAGGGCTCCCCTGAAAGCAAATGGGTAATTCGAACACTGACTATAGCTTTCTGAAAATGTACATTTTATATTATTTATGGAGGCTTGCTGACAGGGTGGACAATGACAGGGTGGACATTTTTGGCTAATGAGCATGGTGGACCTTCAGTTAGCAACATCATTCAGTTAGCAAGGTGACTGTGTACTGTTTAACAAATATATTTTGAATTTCTGAAAGGTTTTTATATTAATTGACATTTCACTATGACAGAGTGGACATGTTAAGCTTGACAACATCCAACTACACCAGTGGCGGCTGGTGGAAAATATTTTAGGTGGGGCTGTGGAAATGGTGATCAAACAATACTAGGGGGCATTTTTTTGAGAAAAGACCCCCTAAATTATGACTTCTGGTGATGTTAGAGGGGGGGGGGGGGGGGGAAGGACAATTTGAGGCTTAAAAATATGAGAAGACTGATCAATACCTCCATAACTTCAGTGTGGTTAGCTATGAATCTTCCAAAACTTCCAAACACCTTGTCCTGGACATAGTTTCTACAGCATAAACTGTGCTAACAAGCTGAGATTCCACAGATTCTAGAAATATAAGTATCATCACTGAGCGATCAGAACTCGCGACAGCGGAAGCAAATACAGACATCACACGACGTAGCTTTAGGTAGCAAAACACGGAGATATGCTCACCTTTTGCAGAATAACAATTCTGATCAAAAACGAGAAAAAAGCAGCTGAAGGTTAATCCAATGTGTCTGTCACTTTGAAAAAATGATTGATGATCCATAATTCCATTTTTCATGATAACTGAGTGATTCTGATGGGGACACCAAAGTTACTATAGTGATATTGACCCATAAATAACATTTCTTTATTAGAATCATGAAAATGTACTCAAAGTATACAAATTAAAAGTGGCTTCTTGAATCTTTTTGTTTTTATATAATTTGAAGAACCAGCACCTTATCGTGGTGGAGAGGTTTGTGTGCCCCGATGAACCAGGGGGGCAGGGGCGGACTGGCCATCTGTGTGTTCTGGAGAATCACAGAATGGCCGGTCGCCAGCGGGCCGTTGACGGCCGGCTCGGTTCGCTGACGGCCGGTGCCGCCCTTTATTTAAAAATGTTTAAACGGCATCATGTAAGTTGCGCTGACAGGCGACAGAGGTCCACAGTTACCCCGCAGCGAGGCTCCCCCCGCCCTCCTGTTGACAGTTCACGAGCGCCAAGCTCTCTTCAATGCGAACCACAGAAAACCAACATCAGCCGTTAGCTGTTAGCACTCAGACTGTCTGTGTCATGGCGAATACAGTCGCTGGTTTATTTATGTCTGTATAGGCCGTTGTTGTGAGTGTGGACGGTCGGAGCATATACTGCGTTAGCTTAGCCGATCTCCATTTAGAAAACACGCATTTTAAAAGGTTTTTCGCCTGCCGTCTGTCTGCAGACTTGTCAAAGCATTCATTCATGGTATTTACTCACCGGTATCAGTATGTTGTTACTTCGGCATCATTTTGAAACGTGTATTGCAATTAAATCACGGTAGTGATTTCACTAGTTTAGCATACTCAGCCCGGTTGTTGGCCCGGAAAGAACCTCGATTTTGTCGAGCCAGAAAAACTGTGAAAAAGTACCCGCTAGCCGGAACTACCCCTAGTGGAAACGCAACAAAAAACGGGCCGGGCCGGGCACGGCACGGCACGCTTAAACCGCGCTGTAGTGGAAATGCGCCAATAGTTTCACCTGCAAGGTGAATACAGAACAGCTGGTACAAAAAAATTAAAAACGACAGTGTTTGCATGCGTACATGAACAGTTTTATGATATCACTGACACGAGGGGATCTGACTTTAATTACATTTGACTCAAGTGTTTCGTCAACTTAATGTTTAAAATAACACTTCAGCATCCATTATGTGACAATGTACGTGTTGCACGACCAGATACGGCTCGAGAAGCTGACTCAGATAAATGAGGCGAGTAAACACAGCTGACAGCCGCCGTGAAACTCGAGCGATTATTCGAGCCACAGGAAATGCACGCAAATACAATCTTTTATATTATTATTATTAGGCCTATTAGAAATATATATATATAAATAAAGACATCTTGTATTTTAGATACACCCGCTATTGATTCATTTTGTCAACATTTGACACTGTCCACATAGCTATAGGGAAATAATATAATAGAAAACATTAAGCCTCTTTGATTTAATAATCGGAGCTGATCTGAAACCTCTCTGCCATCTCATATAACACTAACTTCCTTATTTATCTTTGAATAATAATAACGTAAAAATAAAGACGACTATACTACGGTCCTTCGGTCCTGAGATTAGCTCCATGGACCTGTCAGCTCCGGACAGCGCAAAATGCGTATATGAATTGCTACGTCATGAACGCAAGAAATCATACCGAATGCACAGCGTCGAGCGATCCATGCAAAGAAAGCGGGTTGTGTTTGCAGGTGCAGCGGTTTTAAACAGAAAACAAATGTGGATCAAAAATACATATGTAAAACTGTTTTCTGTGTAAAACTTGTATTTACATGTTTATGAAGAGGAACACATACGACACAACCCTCTGACCAACACAACCCTCTGATGCGTTTGTGGGTAGCTTGGCACGCTACTTCCCTGGAACCGTTGCTGCTTCCAGTGTTTCCTCCTGAAGTCTTTGATCACTACCCAGTCACCGGGCTTGAAGTGGTGTTGTGGCGCATCAGCTGGCATTGGCAGTACGGCTTTCAGAGTGGTTAGCTGAGAGGGAGACTGAAAGACTTATACAGTAGTTCAACAAAAGGTAACTTAAATTGTCTCAACTTTCAGAAACATTACATTAACAGAATAATATTATTTAAATCTGTGCCAGTTCGTCTTGTGCCTTGTGCCATCAAGAGAGCCAGCTTTTCACACCGACAAATATTTGTAGCTGCTTTCACAATGATGACATGCTATTCTCTTTTTATTAACCAGTAAAATAGATCTTTACAGGATCAGAATATTTTGAATATTATTAATCTTTATGGCTTTGTAAGATTATATGTCTCTATTTAACATAATGGACATGCTTATCACACTTGTTTCAGTCTTAAATCTGTATTGTCAATGTGCTTTGGCAATAGTATATGTTTTAATATGGTCATATCAATAAAGTTAGTATTTCCTGATATTCTTCTTTTTTTTTGTTGATATAAAATGATGTGTGACTTCTTCAAATGATGTGTGACTTCCTCAAATGATGTGTGATTTCCTCAAAAAGATAAAGCATTTAAAAATTCCAACCAGCAACCACACTTTCCTCGGTCACATACTTCAGGATACTTGCTGCAGAGCTGACCTTCTAGGAAAGAGTTGGCATTCCCATGAGCAATGGAGGAAGTCTATGCCAATATTGACGATGTCCAAACCCTAAGCTCAAAATCATCAACAATACAAGAAGGTAAGAGTGTCAGTCAGAGTGCACTGTGGATTCTGGATGTACTGTATTACTCCCTGGTTTTCTCTGTGTTCAGGTCCCAGGAGATTTCTCAGAGCGTCTGTTCTCGGTCTGGGGCTGCTGAGTGTTTTGCTGCTGGCTGGACTCATCGGCCTCGCTGTCTACTGTGAGTCTTTCTTTGAATACGTGTAACATGTTAAGGGCGGCTGTGGCACAGTGGATAGAGTGCTGGTCTTCGAATCAGGGGGTATCAAGTTCGAGTCCCACTGCAGTCAGCATGTCGTTGCGTCCCTGGGCAAGACATTGTCCACAGTACTGAATGTATGTGAGTCGCTTTGGATAAAAGCGTCTAACAAGTGACATGTAATGTAATGTAACTGAACGTATAGTAGAATGTGAGGAGTCATTAAAACCCTTGAAAAGACACGGAGGGAAGTTATCTTTTATCACATGCATCAATACAAGCCGTTGTTTGCAACTACAGGCCTCCTCCTATTTCTATTATTCTTTACTTTCTCTTCGGGCAAAATCAGGAAATATTTAGTTTTGTCTCTTGATTTCAGACCACGACGTGACTGAAGAGAGAGACCGACTGAAGGCCAGCCTCACCAAAAAGACCAGTGAGGTGTTCAGGCTTCGGTGTTTGATGGACAAGGGTGAGTGGTATCATGTGGGGGGTTTTGCATAGTGTTTTGCATAGTGTGTGTCTGACTATTGATGCTTTCATAAAATAGTTACACAATGACACTTTTCATTAATGATAATCAAGAATTCGTTTTTAATGACTTAGTTGTGAGGGATTTAATTTATAGTTTGTTTTATTTTTCTTCACCCACCATCATGCCCCATACACTTGTGTAGGCCACCATATTTATATTTCTCTGTAAACTATGCTTATGGCCAGTTTCCTTGTCTAAATTACTTTTAATATAAGCAATAGGAAGAATAACTTAGTGGTAGTTTGTTCCAGATATTTGCAGCATAATAATAATAATAATAATAATAATAATAATCATCATGTCCAGTCGGTCTAGTAACTAACATTGAGATTTTGCCACTGTCTGTGTTTAAGTGGATGTCATTGAAGACTTTAACAAGATCAGTCTCAGTGCTGTGGTGCCTGACTAGATCACATCGAAACAGTTATTTAAATCCCAAAAAAGAGAAGTAGTTGTCTCTTTTGATCCCTCTAAAAATGCTTAATAAATAAGTTTTTTAATTATTATTACAAAAGTGACATATAATGCACTCAAGAGTTCCATATTTCAGCTGTTAAAGCAGTAAATCAACAAGATCTTAAAACTTTTACAGAAACAAAGTGTCCTGAAGGATGGAGGAAGTTTGGTTGTTCCTGTTATCTCCTCTCTACTGAGAAAGCTTCTTGGGAACAAAGCAACTGCACAGCCAGCGGAGCGGTGACCGCAAACCGTTTTGAACAGGTATTGTGTGCTGCTTTAACACTTGTGATTGTATAACCCCCTGCTTTTATCAATCAATAATGTTTGTATTGTACATATACTAGCAAATGTGTCTATCAGCTATAATGATTACGTCACAACAATGGTGTTAATTACATATTTCTGAGCTCGTAAAAAGGGAAAGGTTATCTGAATGTTGATGTCCATCCCAGTAAACTGCATTTTTAATTTGTGAACAGGAATTCCTCACTAACACGACCAAGGAAAGCACTTGGATTGGAAACGTGGAAATGGGTGGCGTGTGTGGATAGAGCGTTGGTGTTCGGATCAGGGGAGCACAGGTTCAAACCCCACTGCAGTCAGCATGTCGTTGTGTCCCTGGGCAAGACACTTCACACTTCACACTTGCATAAAAGCGTCTAACAAGTAACATGTAATGTAATGTAGTGGGTGGATGGATCTCCACTGAATCTGAATCTGACGCAAGGCTTTACTTTAGTTTTAATTACAGACGCTGGTTTATGTTGTGACCTTTCTAAATGTTTCACATGTTTCTGTAATAGTAGTTAACACAACACAGGATGCATTTAAACGTAGGGTGTCTCCCTTTCACCAGAAGATTAATTTGGGTGTTAAGAAAAGAACATGGCTATATTACTTATAGTTATTTGTATTTGATGTCCAATCTTTTAGTTCATCTTGTTTTCCTGTAATGCCTGATAATGGAGGAGGGGATCCACAGTGGGGTGAAGAGGACTGCGCACACATCTCTATTTTCACCAATGGGTGGAACGACCAGTCCTGTAGGGACAATGTGCATTGGGTCTGTGAGAAAGAAGCTTAACATTGGTGTCTGTTTGGATACTAAACATGCAATCATGCTTTTACAATTTAGTTGAAATCGAGTTATTTAAATCTATACAAAATGCCTGATTTCATGAATAGGAATGACTGCTCGAATTGATAAATCACATTTATTTTGTGTTTTTGTTTAGGATTAATATCAGTAATAAATAAATAGTCATTTAATTAGTTTTTGCCAACTTTTGTTTGCCTCAATTAAATTAGTATTTGTATTAATCCTTTTCAAATCTTATGTAACGTTCTTATGAACTGGAAAGTCAGAAAGCCCAACTGCTTCAATTTCAATAGATGGCTGGAGGACTTCCTAAACATCTTAAGTATGGAAGAAGCTGCTTTCTCCCTGTTATATTTGGTTAAGCAAGACAACAGGCTTTGGGATAAGATAAGGGCTTTCCTGGACTCAAACCATCTCGGCTGCCAATAATAAATATAATAATATTAATAAATTAATATAAATTAAGAGAAATAAGCCATGCAGAAACAGAAAAATAATTGGAATAATAATGAAAAAAGAGCAATTCAATGGGAAATGTATTTATTTGACTATTTATCTATTTATTTATCTATTATACATTTTGTGTTTTATAATAATAGCGAGGAAACAATTAAGTATATCTATATTATGAAGCAAATATGCATACATAACATGTAACTGACAATGTAATCCCCCCACCCCCCCACCCTTCATGTTATAGTCCTGTGATGTGTGTGAGCCGTGTCCTTGTCCTTATGTTTTTGTCTTTGAAAATGTCTAATAAAATATAAATGTTAAAGGTGGGGTAGGCAAGTTTGAGAAACCGGCTCGAGATACACTTGTTGTTATATTCCATGGAATGCTCTTAACATCTCGATAGCAATGAATATCTTAAGTGCTTTGACAAAAAATCCATATAAAAATGTCATCTGTGGAAGCCGTAATACTGTAAAAAGCACGACCAATCATTTTAGCCGGCCCGGCTTCGTGTGTGTTGGAGGAGGGGCTCTATAAGGAAGTGGCAGATTTTCTCCCGCTGTGTATTTTCAAATTCTAGCGATCTCGAGCCGGTTTCTCAAACTTACCTACCCCACCTTTAAATCCTTTTACATAATAAATAAATTGTCATTTAATTTGTTTTTGCCTACTTTTGTTTGCCTCAATTAAATTAGTATTTGTATTAATCCTTTTACACATCGACATAAAAACAGCTTATTAAAAACATCTGCTGATAAGCCCACAGTTCCTGAAAGTTATAATATTGAAGGTGCCTTATTGAGCAGAATATGATAACAATAAGAAAAACTGTCAAACATTATTGAATAATTCAGACATATACAACAATACTCTAGTCTCAGCATCGGTCTAACTTGTTCAAACATGTAAAATAGCCTATGTGTTATACAGTATGTTTCCTAACAATGAGCTCTTGTGGCCATGTGAGTACAAATCTGTTGCAGGTATTTAACATTCATAGGTAGCAGCCACTTTGTACATACTGTAAGAACTAGTGCTGTCAATTAATACAAAAATGTATGTAGAAGAAGAATTGGGAGGGATGAAACCCTCTTTAATGGTCACACATGCAGAGCACACAGCACACAGTGAAATGTGTTCTCTGCTTTTAACCCATCCTAGTACCAGGACAGTGTGTGCGTAGATGCAGCGGACAGACAGGTCTCAGTTGGTTTGGTGTCCTCTGCTTACTTTTAATACTTGTAAATAAAACTTTTGGCCCGTAATTTATTTTCCTCATTGTTGCGACCAGAGGGGGGGGGGGGGGATATATCCAGTCTCTGATAGTATTACGTTATTATGAGAGTGCTCTCATACTTGTTTGATTCTGAAATTGTATATATAAAATATATACATATGTGGGTGTGTGTGTGTGTGTGTGTGTGTCCGCATCTGTAGCTTGTTATTGTCTCATTATACCGCACTGTGAATGAATTAAAAGTAAATATATAAGTCATCATGAACACATCTGTCCATCAGACAGAGGTCTGCTGTGCCTCCTGTCATCATTAATGGACGTCTCTTTAAAATGACCGCTCAGAGGAGAGGAGTCCCCTCCTCGGCTCCTCCGCTCGCATCTCCTGTGGGCGGGACTAAGACACGAGGATAGGAGTCGAGGAGGGGAAATCCCAGAAATGAGATACGGCCTAGTACCAGGAGTCTAGTACTAGGAGCAGTGGGCAGCTATTGTACAGCGCCCGGGGAGCAATGGGAGAGGGGGGGGAACGGGGATGTCCGGTGCCTTGCTCAAGAGCACCACGGCAGGGCAGGAGGTGAACTGGGACCTCTCAAAGTAGAAGTCCACACTCCATATTTAGGTCTGGTCTGGGACTTGAACCGGCTCACAGTCCAAGCCCCTACTGACTGAGCCACTGCCGGACATGTATGTTTATCACAATAATATTCTGGGACTTTAACTGCAGGATTTGCTCATGTTTCATTTAAAAAGTAAAGTAAACTATCTTTTATTTGAAGTGAATTACAGTACTTTAACACAATGGACATGATTATCACACTTGTTTCAGTCTTAAATCTGTATTGTCAATGTGCTTTGGCAATAGTATGTTTTAAATATGGGCATGTCAATAAAGCTTATTTGAATTTGAGTTGTTACGACACAGAATTTAAACTATGAACATTAATATAATTTCACTAATAGTTAATGGCCTAAGCAACCCAATTAAAGAAGTGCTTACACAAATGGAACATCAAGGTGGAGATATTGTATTTATGCAAGAACACATCTGTCAAAAGTACTGTGTGTGTGTGTGTGTGTGTGTGTGTGTGTGTGTGTGTGGGTGTGTGTGCGTGTGCGTGTGCGTGTGTGTGTGTGTGTGTGTGTGTGTGTGTGTGTGTGTGTGTGTGTGTGTGTTGTTGGAGCAGAACACCTATCTGGTGGCTGATAGCCCCCTCTCCGTGCCGTTCGTTGAATGAGGCTGATCTCTATTAAATTAAGAAAGGAATTGAAAACACCGGAATCAAAAGTTATAACAATTATCTGAGTTTACTGGTAGGAAACCAAACACGTATACAAGTTTTACAGAGTACTCCGGACTTCAGGCTTGTGATGCGGTTTTACAGGTAGACAGACCAGCTTTCAGAAAACGAGAAGTATGGACTCCAGGTTTGTGATGCGGTTTACCGTCTTCTAGCACCAGCTTTCAACAAACCAGAAGCATTTTACACTCAAAAACAACAGTATTGATAATCATATTTTGGGGCGGAGATGTGTTCACTTTTCCCTTCCCCTTTTACTCCAAAGCGAATTAGAGAGTCCGTGAGGAGGAGCTGTATGAGCTGCTCACATCCCCCAGGTGTTTTTACTGGTTGGATTCACTCCTGGTCGGGTTCAATACAGCGAATCAGAGTTCTGACCAGAACGTGAGATTCTAAAGTTTCACAAGGTCAAAAGTCAATCTTTATCTCTGCCCCGATCTTCACTCCCTTACTTTCCCATGGGAGTTTTTCACATAAACTATTCTTTCTCAAACAATTAAACCTTTGCGCACATATATAATGATGTCCATAACGACCTTAAAAAGAACATGTGTGTGTGGGGGTGAAAAGGAGCGGTGTGGGTGTGAAACAGGATCTCTGGGTCAGTGAGTTGAAAGTGAGAATATCATTTCTATATATGTGATTATCCAAAACCGTTGTGATTACTTAAAACAGTTCAAACAATACATGTTCACTAAAATACAATTCAAAATAATACATGTTTACTTCAATACAGTGTAGAATCATATATTTTTACTTCAGTGTGTGTGTATGTGTGTGTGTGTGTGTGTGTGTGCTCGGTCACATGTGCTGCAGTCCCTGCTTCAGAGCTGAAAAAAGTTGGCATTTTTGAAAAGCAATGGAGGAAATCAATGACGATGTTGAAACTGTAAAACCCCTAACCCCAAGATCAGCAATACAAGAAGGTAAGTGTTCAGTCAGACGGAGTTAGCTGTGGATTGTGGATTTATTATGTTCAGGTCCGAGGAGCTCAGAGAGATTTCCCCGAGCGTCTGTTCTCGGTTTTGGGCTGCTGAGTGTTTTCCCGCTGGTTGTTCTCATCGGACTCACAGTCTACTGTTAGTCTGTTTTATAAGTTAATATCATTTTGAATTTGTAATTTTGGAGACTGAGCATCTCCATGTCTGAAGAGAGAGACAGACTGAAGGCCAGTCAAAATTACTGCCTTTATTGCAGTATTTTTTAATTTCCTTTATTAAGCAATTGGTCTTATAGCACCGTGTAAGGCAGGGGTGTCAAACTCAAATACACAGTGGGCCAAAATTAAAAAATGGGTACTAGTCGAGGGCCGGACTGGTTCAATGTTTATTGCAAAACGTATTGAAATGAACTTATTGCACATATTAAACCTGGAACTAACAAAGCTTAAATGATTGCCTATAAAAACAACATTAAATATTAAATAATCAGTTGCATTCATTTCTCATGGCTCTATCTGCAGCTTTTCCAGAGTCATTTCTTATGATTACATTTTCCCACAGGCCAACAACAGCTTAAAAAAAAATATTT